TACACCATGTCACGTGGGTGAAATCAGATTTAAATGATACCATGAAGCATGAAAATAAAGGGCCACCTTGAAGGGGAAACGGCACCCAGAGGCAGCCTGGAGTTGGCTAGTAATAAAAGAGGGACAGTCCTGCCACCTCTCAGTTTGCCTTGCGGTTAGCAATAGTGGAAGGTAGTGGTCGCTCATGTGGCTTTAATTTGCATTTCCCTAACGACTAAGGATGGTGAGCTGCTTTTCACGGGTGTATTATTCATTTGTAGATTTTTCCCTGTCACGTGCGTATTCATTCGTAGCTTTTCTGTGTTGAAAATACCCTTTGAAATCTTTGGCCCATTTTAAAGTTGAGTTAGTTGTTTTATAATTGTGTCGTAAGAGATTTCTTTTTTTCCAAGTCTCACCTTTTTATCATTAGATTCAACAGACAGAATAACATTTTCATAAAGATATTCAGAATAAAGTGTAGGAAGAAAGAATAAAAGCTGTACACACTGTTGTTCGTTGCAAGTCTAAATGAAATTAAACCAAAAGTTAGAGTGAAATACCTGTTTCCTCATATTACACGCCTGAACATAATTTTGAACAAACACTATATGGACCAATATTTAAGTTATGTATAAATATTATGTTTTTAATGTAATAAATGAATGGTTTCATTAAACTTTATCTGATGTAGGTTGTAATTATAATTGTGTTGTGAGAGATTTTAATCTCTTCTGCATTCAAGTCCTTTATTAGATTTATGATTTGCAAATATTTTCTCCCAGTCTGGCTTCTCATTTCATTTTCTTAATGATAGCTTTGAAAAGCAAAACTTTTAAATTTTGATCTTGTCCAGTTTATCATTCTTTTTCTCTTATGGATCATGTTTTTGGTGACATGTCTGAGGTACCTTTGCCTAATCCAGGGTCACAGAGACTTTTCTCCTATGTTTTGTTCTACACGTTTTTTTTTTTTTAGTTTTAGTTCTTTATATTTAATCCATTTGGAATTAGTTTTGGCTTATGGTGGGAGGTAAGTGTCCAATTGTTTCTGTGCCATTTGTTGAAGAAAACTATCCTTTCCCCATTGAATTAGGTTGACATCTTTGTTAAAAACTGGTCGACCACAGCTGTATAGATTTCTTTCTGTTTCGTTTATCTAATGTGTGGTCTGTACTACACTGACTTGCTTATTGTACATTTATAGTAAGTTTTGAAATCACGACATGTAAGTCTTCCAATTTTTCTTCAAATTTGTTTTGGCTTTTCTATATTTTTTTGCATTTCCATATAAATTATGGAATGATCTTATTGGTATCTTCAAAAAATTCCAGCTAGGATTTTTAGTTGTCGTTGCCTCGAATCTATGGGTAAGTTGGAGCATCGCCATTTTAGTCTCCCGTTCATGAACATGGTACACCTCTCTGTTTATTTAGATCTTGCTTTTCTTTGTTCTTTCTTTTTTTTTTTCACTTCAGTGACTCGCAGTGATGCCTTTGACAATTTTGTCCAATTTCATACTTGTTCTTCTGCGGATAAAAGTCACTAACATATTCAAGCATCCATAACCGGAAGTCCTCTGTAGTATTTTAACCTTATAGCAAACTTCTGCTTCCAGTACTTTTCACGTTTTCGTCAAAGGCATTAGCTAGGTGTGATTGCGTTGTAGTAGCTGTGATACTTAGAGCAACTCTGCTCTAATGGAGGAGAAAACAGTGGTACCTTGTAACTTTTGTTTCATTTCTAGTTGAAAGGTCCCCGACTGAATTCCTTGAAGAGAAAATGGCCTACCAGGGGTATCAGAACAGCCAGAACTGGCCAGAAAATACAAACTTTTGCTTTGAACCCGAGCAAGTAATGAATCCTATACAGACCGGTAAGTGTGGGCTTGCCTGCGACTGGTGAATGTGAACTATGATACAAACAGGAAAAGGCCACAGCCACCACTCACGCACAACATTTTAGCCTAAATATAACTCGTAAAGCACAGCCAAGGTATAATTATTTCCCCTGACCATTTAGCTGACCCTTTCTCCTATCTGTTTATCTCTTTTTCTGAGTCACATGCCCCCTTGAGTTCTCTCCCCTTCAAAACCTGTTTTGAGTAAATTAACTGAAATTTATATTTATTGAAGACTGAATGATCAGTAGTACCACAGAACCTTGATTCTTCCAAAAAGAATTATTACAGTAATAATAGCACCATTTGTTGAATGCCTGTATGTGCTAGAGGCTTCGTATGCGTATTATATGTGTGTTTTTTTTTGTTTTTTTTTTTTTACCTAACTCTGCAAAATATATATTATACTCATTGGACAGAAGAGAAAACCAAGACTCGTACCCAATTTCTATAAAATTCAAACTAATCTGTAGAGACAAAGAGCGTATCTGCAGTTGCCTAGAGCTGGGAGTGGCGGGAGGACCGGATTGCAGAGGGGCCTCCGTGTCGGAGCTAGCCAGTTTGCGAGCTCATGTCGTTTCTACTTACATATGGCTTTTTTGTTGTTGTTGTCACTGCTATCTAACTTATAAGGTGTTCATAGCCGGTTCCAAATGACCTAGTAGTTGATGATATGGACTATCCTCTAATTATTGGCTATCCTAGATATATGGCAATTTTTAGAAACAGCTTCATTGAGATTTAATTCAGATACCCATTTAAAATGAACAATTCCGTGGATTTAAGTACATTCCCATGTATACACAGCCATCACCAGAGTCAATTTTAGAACATTTTCATTAGCTCAAGAAGAAACCCTGTATTCTAGATATCACTCACTATCTCCTTAGCTTCCCCAGCCCTAAGCCACCACTGATCTGATTCCTGTCTCTATAAATTTACCTTTTCTGGACATTTCATGTACATGGAATCATATAATATGTGGTCCTTTGTTACTGGCTTTTTTCACTAAGCACATGTTTTCAAGGTCCATGCATTTTATGGCATAGATCAGCACCTTCTTCTTTTTATATGAAAACGTAGTGTTCCGAGGTACAGGTGCACCACATTTATTCATCAGTTGATGAGCATTTGAGTTGTTTTCGTAGTCTTTTTTTTTTTTTTTGCTATTGCGAATGATGTTTTAAACATTCACGTACAAGTGTTTGTGTGGACGTATGTTTTCATTTCTCTTGGGTATATAGCTACATTGGAATTGCCGATCATATGGTAGCGCTGCGTTCATCATTAAAGGAATTACCAAGCTGTTTTTCAAAATAGCTGCTCCATCTTACATCCCCACCCTAATGCATGAGGTTTGCAATTCTTCCTCATTCTTGACACCACTCGACCCTACCTTTTTTGAAATTATAGCTAACCTAATGGTTGTGAAATGATATGTCATCGTGATTTTGATTTGCATTTTCCTAGTGACTAACGATGTTTATTGTCTTTTTTTTTTATCTTTTCGTGTGCTTTTTGGTCATTCGTGTATCTTCCTTGGAGAAATGTTTATTCAGATCCTTTGCCGAGTTTTTAATTGGTTTGTTTGTCATTTTATTGTGCTCTAGAGTTCTATACGTATATTCTATGTACTAGACCCTTATTAGACTTATGATTTGCAAATATTTTCTCCCATTTTGTGGGTTGTATTTAATTTTTTGCTAGTGTTTTCTGATGCATAAAAGTTTTTAATATCTAAATCTAATTTATCTGGTTTTCCTTTTGTTGCTCAGGCTTTGCTGTCATGTCTAAGAATCCACCACCAAATCTGAGGTCGTGAAGATTTATTCTTACATTTTCTTCTAAAATTTTTATGATTTTAGTTTTTGTATTGAGGGCTTTGATCCCCCATAAGTTATTAACTTTTTTTATATGGTGAGGGGCAGGGGTCCAAATTCATTCTTTTGCATGTGGATATCCAGTAGTCCCAGCTCAATTTTTTAAAAAGACGGTTCTTTTCCTGTTGAATGGTCTTGGCACCCTTGTCGAAAATCTGTTGACCATAGACATATGGTTTCTCAGCTCTTAGGTTTATTCTACTGATCTGTGTTTCTGTCTTCATGCCAGTACTGTACTGTCACGATTGCTGTCACTTTTTGGTAAGTTTTGCAGTTGGGCAGTGAGAGTCTTCTTCCTACTTTGTTTTGTATTTTCATGATTGTTTGTCTATTCTGGGTCCTTTGCAATTCCATATGATTTTAGAATTAGCTCATCAATGTCTATCAAGAAATCAGCTGGGATGCTGAGAGCAATTGCATTGCATCTACAGATCAGTTTTGAGAGTTTTGCCACCTGAGGTCTTCCAGTCCATAAACGTGGACTGTTTTTCCATTTATTTACATCTCATTTCTTCCAACAATATTTTTGTAGTTCTCAGAGTGCACATTTTATACTCCCTTTATAAAGTTTGTCCCTAATATTTTATTCTTTTGACACTATGAATGGAATTTTCTTAATTTCATTTTCAGATTGTTCATTACAACGGTAAGGCTGTCCAACTGATTTTAGCATATTGATCTTGTATCTTCCAACCTTGCTGACCTCATTAGTTCTAGTAGTCTTTTAGTGGACTCCTTAGGATTTTCTATATATGAGATTATGTCATCTACAAATAGAGTTTTACTTCTTCCTTTCCAATCTGGATGCCATTTATTTCCTTTTCCAGCCTAGTTGTTCTAGTTAGAAACTTTAGTACAATGTTAAATAAAAGATGAGAAGTGGATGAGAACCTTCTTGGTTTGTTCCTTGTCGTAGAGGGAAACCATCAAATGTGGTGTTAGCGGAGGGTTTTTTTTGTTTTGTTTTGTTTTGTTTTTTATGCCTACAGCACCTGGTCTTCCTAGGTGGTCTCCCATCCAAGTACTAACCAGGCCCAACTCTGCTTAGCTTCCGAGATCAGACATCGGGCTTGTTCAGGGTGGCATGGGCGTAGACCATGGACTGTGGCTCCACTGGTGTGTGAATCCAGGACCTTCTGCGTGTAAAGCAGACTTGCTAACCACTACACTGTGGAAACATGTCCTATAATTCTTTTTATATGCCGGCATATATATTAACACTTGTTGAGGATTTTTGCATCCATGTTCAGAAGAGATATTGGTCTGTAGTTTTCTTGCCTAGTGTTGGTGTCAGGGTAATGCTGGTCTCAGAATGAGTTGGGAAGTGTTCTCCCCTCTTTAATTTTTTTGAAAGAGTTTGTGAAGAATTGGTTGTAATTCTTCATTAAATGTTTGGTAGAATTAATCAGTGAAACCTTCTCAGCCAGCGTTTTTCTCTGTGAGGAGTTTTTAATTACTTATTCAAGTCAGAAAGAAGAGGAACCAGCAAGGATTACTTCAAAGGAATGGCCACTTTTGAGATTGAAGAAGACTCGGAAGACTTTAAAGTCCTGAAAGTCAAGGGTGGTAGCCAACCTCCAAGGTGGCTGCAATGATCCCTCCCTCCTGGTATTCACACCTCGGTATAGTCGCCTCCCACACTGTGCCAGCTTGGTCTATGTGACTGATAGAATATATGGCAGAAATAATGGTATGTCATTTTTAAGATTAGATTACAAAAGACATTGTGGCTTCTGTCTAGATCATTCTGGGTTCGCTCACCCTGGCCATAGCCAACTGCTACGGAGAGGCAAACACAGGGGAAACAGGTCTCAAGTCAGCAGCCATGTGAGTAAGCCATTGGGTAGGCAGGCTCTCCAGCCCCACGTGATCACAGCCTTGGCCAGCGCCTCCACTGCAGCCTTGTGAGACACCCTAATTAGTGGAGGTAGGGCAGAAATAGATTCTAGGGGACATTGTGAAGGTCACAACAACTGGATTTTCTGGTTAATTGGGTGTGGTGTATGAAAGAGGAGTCAAGGATGACTCCAGTGTTTTTTACCAAAAAATGCCATTAGGAATGGGAAGACTGTATGAGGAGTGGTTTGAGAATCGTGCCACATTTTGGCTTTATTCTACACATTAAGAGCTGGCGCTTCGATATAAAATTCAGGAAATTAAGGTCTAGATGGCCGGAGATATAAATTTGAGTGTCATTAATTTATAGGTAGAATTTTAAATTGTGAGATTGGATGAGCTCACTAAGCGAGGGAATGTAGTCGATGGACAAAAAAGGTGTTCCTCCCTCCTCCAGCTGCTCAGTTTTTTAGTCTTAGCTTAAATATTTATTGAGCAAAGACCTTCCTTGACTTGAACTAAAATGCACTCCTCTGCTAAGGATTCTCAACCTCGACCTTGTACCTCTTTGGGACATTAGAGCATGCAGGGTCTGCCATACTGTAGGTACACAGTAAACAAGTAATGAATAAATGACAGGAATTTGTAGAAATCACTTATTGTTACATGTGATTTAGCAATCTCCTGTCCTGACGTGCCAGCCATACAGCAGTTATTCTCCTCGATGCTTTAAGCATCCTGTTTTCCTTCAGTGGAAACGTGAGAGGCCGAGCCAGCAGCAGCTCTACTCCTCACTGGGGGAGACCCGGAGGACGCATGTGTGTAACCTCTCGCATAGTCAGCTCCCCTGCTGTTCTGAAGAAGCGGCATCGGGGCCTCCTCTACCCCGCAAAAGTTCTAGGTCTGCTTTGTCTTTGTTCTGGTTCCCCAGCTGTCCTGAACCCCCTTACTAGAAGAGGGCGGTGCAGCTGCCTCCGAGCCCCAGGAAAGAACATTCTCTCCAGGCTTGGGCTTTTCGGCAGCCTCCTCTGACAGCTGAAGTACCTTAAGGGGGTGAGTCGTTAGCATCACCAAGGAACTACAATGCAGATTCTTAGGGACCAGAAATCTGTGTCTTTACGTCTTCAGGGTAACCTGTGCTAAATTTTGAGGTCGTCTTCAAGAGCAGAATTATTGCTTGGCCTGACTAGCTTTGCTCTTTTTTCTTGTAAGAAGGCACACAGTTTACCTGATGTTTTGAAAAAGTGCCTTTTCTCATCCCTGCTTAGTCTAGTATTTCTCCTCTCGAGATGCCTGCTGTTCACCATCTCACTTAGGAAGCTTTGAAATGCAGTTTTCTTCTTGATGTCTATGTGAGGTAAAAATGTCTTTTTTTTTTTTTAAACTGTCTATTTTTTTTTTTTTTTTTTTTAAACTTGTTCTGGGTGTCTTTTTTTTTTATTTTTTTAAATAACCTAAAGTGAATGTCTACGTAAAAATATATTGAAAGTTTAATTGTACCTGTACATTTACCTTTTGGTAGACCGTAGACTTGAGCATTGTTGTGCTTTTACTTCTGTATATTTGTTGGCTGTTTGATTTAGAGAATCTTAATCAAATCTTAGAGCATATGAGATGATATATTTTTAACTCATAACAAATGAATTAGTGAATATTTAGATTCATTACCATGTTCAGTCACATATTATCGCCATTTGTTTTAACGTTCTATTGACACCACATGTGTAACTAATCAGTATTCATCACAGGATAACAAGGAGTGCTGTCTTCGTAGTCGTATTCATTGGGAATGAGTTTTGAATTCCTTCTTTATTCCAGATCCCTTTAAGGTGCACCGTGATGATGGCCTCGAAGATTTGCTCTTTTTCCCCAGTGGAACAGCCAGCACTTCAGCCTTTACAGAACAAAACGAGCCCCTGAAAGACAGTTACGGTATGCCTTCTCTAACTGGGTTTCTTTCTTAACTCCAGACAGTTAACACGGCCGTCACCCCGTCACCTTTGAAGTGAACCACCAGGCGAAGTCATGTTTAGGGGCTCTGGCTGGGACGAGCGGCTTTCTAGAGCAATCACGAGAGAGAATGCTCAGTTGGGTTCTCACCCTGCTGACCTCCTCTCAGAGGATCTTGAATCCTGTATCCTCAGGCCAGGTTCTGTGTGCACTGTTTACTACCTCGTGGCCTCCCTAAACTTTGGTTTCTTTATCAGATGGGACCGACACTAGTTCCTACCTTAAAGTTGTGATGATTAGATAAAAGCATGTAAAAGCGCTTCCGCATCACTGTCCATTACATAGTAAACATTAAACAGGTCTTCGTTATCAACTAGTAGTATCCTCATTTCTGGTTTTGTATAACTTTTAACAGGAATGTGGTCAGGGTTCTGTAGGGGAAGTTCATCCATTCTACCTCTATACCCCTTATGTTTTCAGCCTAGGACTCTTAACAAAATGACAGATTAACAAGAGAAGAACAAATAGTTTATTAATGCATACGGCATACACCACATAGGAGAAAAGTAACTCAGTTGCTTAGAGTTTCAGTTTCTGTAGCATCTTCGACAAAAAACAAATTTGTAGAGAAATGACAGGACAAAGGGAAGCGATTTTAGGCTTCAGAGACGGGCAAACTGGGAAGGTGAGTGCGAGGGAGCCGAGTAAGGTTTGTTTGCAGACCTCTCTGGCTGGTAAGAGTTTATCTCTAGTAAAAGAATTTATGGCCTGCCTTTAGGCAGAAAGTAGGGAGCTTTTTTCTAGGTTTGCTGTTGCTTTATTGCCCTCAGCTCAAAATGGTTTTTCAGTCAAAGGGGCATATTTTAGGGTGACATATTCCGATTTCCTGTAGTGCCCCCCATCAGTAAGTCCCACTTCAAACTGCTTATTAGTCTGTATTTGTAAAGATCCTGGCTAATGATATGTTTAATTGAGGCTTTTCGTTGGACTCTTGGGAGAAAGATGTTAAATGAGTTGGCTTCGATGCTACCCAGCTACTCTCCTCATACTTTGAATTTGGCTTCCACGCCTCTTTTTTCAGCTCACTCGTTAGTGAGTCATTCACAGTCATTCAGTCGCATTGACTTCTTCCCTCACGGCATCTTTCTTCTCTTCCTTTTTGCTCCCTCTGCTTTTCCCCAGCGTTAACCCCTGTCACTTCACACCTAGACCCCCTCAGTAGTCTGCTGACAGACTTCCTGCTCCCTTTTAAAATTCATTCTGAATAGACCTGCTCTATTGATCACCCCAAAGAGTCCCTGTTCTGTATTCATCATCTCATTTTCATGATTAAGACCTTAAGACACCTATTTTTTTTTCTCTTCAAGGCTGATTTCTCTGGCTTTCCAGATCCTTTTCCATTGTTTTAATCTCGTTTTCCCTCACTGGTATGCAAGATCTCTTTACATCAAACTAACCTTATAGTCCTAGAACTAACCTTATATAGTCCCTTATAGTCCTGTCGGCACCTTCATCTTCTTCCTGGCTCTCCATCCTTGAAACTGGCTACTCTCTCATCTCTTCCTGCTCTTGCTTTTTCTCTGAAGCCTCCTGTGATTATTCTGGTCCTCGTGGTTGTTTTTAAACTCTTATACCACCTCGTTCATATTATACATTTTGCATTATTTGATATATGTCAATCTTGCCTCTCTAGGTAAATTGTAATAATCTTGATGGCAAGGACCATCAATAGGTTATTAAAACCCCTAGTCTGGTAGTGGACAGCATAATAATCATCCTTTTACATTGTCTAGTTCTAAATAATTTGCAAAGCGTTTTCACAAAATTGTCTTCTAATGTTGGAAGAGGGTATTAATCTCATTTTGCAGACGAGGAAATTAAGACTCACAGTTCCTTATTATATATTTCGATGTTGGACATAGAGCTCAATCTTTGGTATTTTGAATCTTTGTAATACGCTCTAGAAGGTAGCCAATCAACATTGACTCGTGACACTGCAGAGACATAGTCTATTAACAAATAGCCAAAACCTGGAGAATATCAGCAGTTTTTAATGTAAAACCTTCTTGCTTTGTTTTTCATTGGTCCTTAGGTCTACATCTTTATGGCAGTATATAAAGTTGATTTTAAATATTAAATGCCTCGTATGCCAACTGTTATTTAAAAAATGGGGGTCGGGGGGAAGATAGTCAGAATTCATGATAAATTTCCACGGTGACAGATGATTCCTAGAATTATTGGGGTGATCACATTATAAGTTATAAAAATGATGAATCGCTATATTGTACACCTGAAACTAATATAACCAATATAAGATTGTATACCAACTATACTTAATAAAACATATTTTAAAAAGTGAGAAAATAAAAATAATTTTTAAAAAGTATTTGCCGACTGAACGCCTCTGCAACTTTGTTCTTGTGAAGCTCTCACTTTCATCTATCTTCCTCTA